ATTCATGGAAACCAATGAAAATGAAAACACAACTGTTCAAAATCTTTTGGATACAATAAAGGCAGTCCTGAGAGGAAAGTATATAGCAATACAAGCCTTTCTCAAGAAAGAAGAAAGGTCTCAAATACACAACCTAACCCTACACCTAAAGGAGCTGGAGAAAAAATAGCAAATAAAGCCTAAACCCAGCAGGAGAAGAGAAATAATAAAGATCAGAGCAGAAATCAATGAAATAGAAACCAAAAGAACAGTAGAACAGATCAACAAAACTAGGAGCTGGTTCTTTGAAAGAATTAACAAGATTGATAAACCCCTGGCCAGACTTATCAAAAAGAGAAACGACCCAAATCAACAAAATTATGAAAGAAAGAGGAGAGATCACAACCAACACCAAAGACATACAAACAATTATAAGAACATATTATGAGCAACTCTATGCCAGCAAATTAGATAACCTGGAAGAAATGGGTGCATTTCTAGAGATGTATCAACTACCAAAATTGAAGCAGGAAGAAATAGAAAACCTGAACAGACCTATAACCACTAAGGAAATTGAAGCAGTCATCAAAAATCTCCCAACAAACAAGAGCCCAGGGCCAGATGGCTTCCCAGGGGAATTCTATCAGACATTTCAAGAAAAATTAATACCTATTCTCCTGAAACTGTTCCAAAACATAGAAATGGAAGGAAAGCTTCCAAACTCATTTTAGGAGGCCACCATTACCTTGATCCCCAAACCAGACAAAGACCCCATCAAAAAGGAGAATGACAGACCAATATCCTTGATGAACATGGATGTAAAAATTCTCACCAAAATACTAGCCAATAGGATCCAACAGTACATTAAAAGGATTATTCACCACGACCAAGTGGGATTTATTCCTGGGCTTGAAGGTTGGTTCAACATCCACAAATCAATCAATGTGATACAATACATTAATAAAAGAAAGAACAAGAACCTTATGATCCTCTCAATAGATGAAGAAAAAGTATTTGACCAAGTACAGCATCCTTTCTTGATCAAAACTCTTCAGAGGTTAGGGATAGAGGGTACATACCTCAATATCATAAAAGCCATCTATGAAAAACGAACAGCGAATATCCTTCTCAATAGGAAAAATGGAGAGCTCTCCCCCCTAAGGTCAGGAACATGGCAGGGATGTCCACTATCACCACTGCTATTAAACATATTATTAGAAGTCCTAGCCACAGCAATCAGACAACAAAAAGAAATAAAAGGCATCCAAATCGGCAAAGAGGAAGTCAAACTCTCACTCTTTGCAGATGATATGATACTGTATGTGGAAAACCCAAAAGACTGCACCCCAAAACTGCTAGAACTCATACAGGAATTCAGTAATGTAGCAGGATATAAAATCAATGCACAGAAATCAGTGGCATTCCTATACACCAACAACAAGACAGAAGAGAGACAAATCAAGGAGTCGATCCCATTTACAATTGCACCCAAAACCATTAGATATCTAGGAATAAATTTAACCAAAGATGCAAAGGATCTGTACTCAGAAAACTATACAATACTCATGTAAGAAATTGAGGAAGACACAAAGAAGTGGAAAAACGTTCCATGCTCATGGACTGGAAGAACAAATATTGTGACGATGTCAGTGCTACCTAGAGCAATCTACACATTCAACGCAATCCCTATCAAAATACCATCCACTTTTTTCAAAGAAATGGAACAAATAATCCTAAAATTTGTATGGAACCAGAAAAGACCCCGAATAGCCAGAGGAATGTTGAAAAAGAAAAGCAAAGCTGGCGGCATCACAATTCCGGACTTCAACCTCTATTACAAAGCTGTCATCATCAAGACAGTATGGTACTGGCACAAAAACAGACACATAGATCAATGGAACAGAATAGAGAGCCCAGAAATGGACCCCATGGTCAACTCATCTTTGACAAAGCAGGAAAGAATGTCCAATTGAAAAAAGACAGTCTCTTCAACAAATGGGTGCTGGGAAAATTGGACAGCCACATGCAGAAGAATGAAACTGGACCATTTCCTTACACCACACACAAAAACATACTCAAAATGGTTGAAAGACCTCAGTGTGAGAGAGGAGTCCATCAAAATCCTAAAAGAAAACACGGGCAGCAACCTCTTCAACCTCAGCCGCATCAACTTCTTCCTAGAAACATTGCCAAAGGCAAGGGAAGCAAGGGCAAAAATGAACTATTGGGATTTCATCAAGATAAAAAGCTTTTGCACAGCAAAAGAAACAGTCCACAAAACCAAAAGACAACCGACAGAATGGGAGAAGATATTTCCAAATGATGTATCATATAAAGGGGTAGTATCCAAAATCTATAAAGAACTTATTAACCTCAACACCCAAAGAACAAATGATCCAATCAAGAAATGGGCAGAAGACATGAACAGACATTTTTCCAAAGAAGACATCCAAATGGCCAACAGACACATGAAAAAGTGCTCAATATCACTCGGCATCAGGGAAATCCAAATCAAAACCTCAATGAGATAGCACCTCACACCAGTCAGAATGGCTAACATTAACAAGTCAGGAAACGACAGATGTTGGCAGGGATGAGGAGAAAGGGGAACCCTCCTACACTGTTGGTGGGAATGCAAGCTGGTGCAGCCACTCTGGAAAACAGTATGGAGGTTCCTCAAAAAGTTGAAAATAGAGCTACCATACAATCTAGCAATTCCACTACTGGGTATTTACTCCAAAGATACAAATGTAGGGATCTGAAGGGGTACGTGCACCCCAATGTTTATAGCAGCAATGTCCACAATAGCCAAACTGTGGAAGGAGCCAACATGTCCATTGACAGATGAGCGGATAAAGAGCAAGTGGTATATATATACAATGGAATATTATGCAGCCATCAAAAGGAATGAAATCTTGCCATTTTTAACGATGTGGATAGAACTGCAGGGTATTATGCTGAGCAAAATAAGTCAATCAGAGAAAGACATGTATCATATGACCTCACTGATATGAGGAATTCTTAATCTCAGGAAACAACTGAGGGTTGCTGGAGTGGTGCGGGGTGGGAGGGATGGGGTGGCTGGGTGATAGACACTGCGGAGGGTATGTGCTATGGTTAGCACTGTGAATTGTGTAAGACTGTTGAATCACAGATCTGTACCTCTGAAACAAATAATACATTATATGTAAATAAAGAAAAAAAGAAGAAAAAGAAGAAGATAGCAAGAGGGGAAGAATGAAGAGGGGGAAATCGGAGGGGGGAGACGAACCATGAGAGACTATGGACTCTGAGAAACAAACTGAGGGTTCTAGAGGGGAGGGGGGTGGGGGAATGGGTTAGCCTGGTGATGGGCATTAAAGAGGGCATGTTCTGCATGGAGCACTGGGTGTTATATGCAAACAATGAATCATGGAACACTACATCAAAAACTAATGATGTAAAGTAGGGTGATTAACATAACATAATAATGATAAAAAAGAATAAAGTATAGGCAAGCAATTTATAGAAGAGAGAACTAGAATAGTCAATAACTTACAGAAGGATGTTCAACCTCATTCATAATCAAGAAAATGCAAATTAAAATACAAATTAAGCCTTTTCATACCCAATTGGCAAAAATTTTAAGTCTGACAATACTGAATATCGTTTCTCTAAATTCCCACCAAACATTGCCGATGAGAGTGTAAACTTCTCCAACTACTCTGATGAAGAATCTAGGAATTGCTATTTATCCTGAAGATGGGCATATCCCACCAAGTAACCCTAAAGAAGAACTGCACACCTATTTACCCAAGCCAAGCTCTTAACTCTCAGTCTTCAGAGCGGATGGGCACTGCCTCAAGAAGCCACATCCAACAATCCCAGTGTGCCATACAAATACTGTCTACATGGGCTATGTGTTAAAAAGGTAGTGAAGCACTTCTCTAAAGAATCTCTTGTACATGTACTTATGGAGACACGTACAAAAATATCCATGACCACACTTACTGTAATAGTGAAAAACAATCTAAATATCAAACTGGAAAATGGATAAATAATGGTTATCATAAAATGTAATAGTATACAAACAAAAAGAATAAACTAGGATACTTCCATCGGCCTAATAAAGCTCACATAGTATTTTGTGGAAAAAAGCAAGGAATAGAAGAATGCATACTGTTTTATATGCCATTTTCATAAGATTTTAAAAGAAGTTTCAAGTACTGCTAGCTGTCCACTAAAATGCTCTTCCTTCAATAGTAAGAGAGTTCAGCTGAGGTGAGTCTTCTCAGCTAGGTATTGAATCCTCCAGGCTTCCTCACAGCTAGTATGCCCTTGTGATTGAACTTTTGCCAATGGAAAGTTGGCAACAGTGATGAGTACAAATTAGACCTTGAAAATCTCTGGTCCTAATCTTATAGTCTTGCTCCCTCCCCACCTCCAGCTAAATTCATTTCAAGCAGAGAGAGCTAGTTGGGAAGAAAGCCAGTTACTGAATGACTGCACAACACAGATTCACTCTTCAAACTGGGCTGTCATACAAATCCTTAAGCTGTTGAATTTTAGGAGTTCTTAGTTAGAACATGTTAGTCTATTACTCCCAAAACACACACAGTGCATATTTTTGTGACTACATATACACTAAATATAAAACCTGTAGAATGGAATTATAAATCAAAAACAATAGTTACCTCTAAGAAAAAGAAATGAATGATATTAAAGAGACAGAGCCAAGAAGCTTTTAAATGTATAGCATTCTATCCTTTAATCAGTGGCATAAAAAATGTTCATTACATTACATTAATCTCTATAGATTTCTGCCTAAAATATTTCATAATAAAGAAGAGAAACTGAATGAATGTGTGGACAATTACAAGTAACATTTAAATGTAACATTCACCTTATAACTCTTTTTTTTCTGACTTATTCTACTTATTATATGCTAAAACATTTCAGGTTTATTACTTACTTTCCTGATCTTTTGGATCACTTCCTTCATACTCAGCTCCTTGGATAAACTGCAAAATATTCTGCTTAAAGAACCTCTCGGCCAGATCCAATACATTTTCTCCATTATCATTGAAGGCTTTTAAAGCTTGTGTTGTACTGTTCATTCTACTGAGTAGGAATTTAAAGCAGTGAAGGTGACCTTCCATGGCTGCTAAGTGAACTATAGGAGAAAGAGAAAAAATTTAATTTTTAAATTGACTGTAAAATAACTTGAAGAAAGAAATAACAACATTGGCTCTCATCTTCACCGGAAGATGCCTGTCCCCTCCCTATGTAACAGGGACATACTCTGAGAAAGGTAACACCTTTTTTGCAAGCCCACAAGTCCTTACTCTGCCTTCCAGTCATGCCAAAGCAACAGACTAAATTATTAAAGAGTTATAAATACTGTGAATGTACAGATGCCAGATGAGAGATACCAAAGAGCAGGCCCCAGAATATTTCCTTGAAAAGTGAAATCCCAATTATGCCACTTATAATTACATAAGAAAATACTTGCCATGTAAGACAGATGATAAGTAAACTCATTTAATGTTTTGGAAAAAAGTGGAAGAAATAAACCAAAATAGTCACTATGCAAATATGAATGTTATTTTTATCACTATGTATTGTGTCACCTTTCCATAGACATTATTTTTATTTTTTTTAAAGATTTTTTTTTAATTTATTTATTTTGAGAGAGTGAGAATGAAAGAGAGAGAGAGAGTACATGAGAGGGGAGAGGGTTAGAGGGAGAAGCAGGCTCCTCGCCGAGCAGGGAGCCCAATGCGGGACTCGATCCCAGGACTCCAGGATCATGACCTGAGCTGAAGGCAGTTGCCCAGCCAACTGAGCCACCCAGGCACCCTAGACATTATTTTTATTAAAAACAGAAAGACTGGATCAAAACTTCAGACAAAGCACACATACTACCTCACCATTTCTATTCTCAATCCTTGAAAATAATAGAAAAGATATTTTTTGAAGCCAAAAAAGACTAGAAAAATGAACCAGAACACCAAGAACAAACAATAAATGTTAAGGTTAAGGAACCCCTGAAAGAAAATATACTCAATCAGACTGAAGGAGAGCCACAACGCAAACTCTGCAAAAAATAGGAGGAACAGTTCTGGGGTATTACAAGCTTAGAGGTAGCGATTACAAAGGGAGGCTTTACATCTCTGGAGAAGTGACTCTCTGGGAAATAGCCCAATCAATATACAAACCTTGCCTCTGGAGAAGTAGGGCAGTGCCTAAGTGACCAGTGTAATGCAGGGAAAACAAGATGTAACAACACCCAAAAGATAAGCTGCTGGCACATGCCACTCTACACTTTCTCAGCTAAACCTGAAAAAACCAAAAAACTCCCCATAAAACTTGAGACTCCTCTAACACCTCATTCAACACATATACACTTACATGTCTTACAGGCATTGGGAATTTAACATCAAAAACTCAACTCCTCATCCCTCTTGCATACATTTTCCTTACATGGTTTTCCCCAACTTACTTGATAGGAACTCTCTTTTCCATGGAGTTCATGCCCTGGAGCCATCCTTGACTACTCTCAACACCTCATCAATCAGCAAATCTTATTGATTCTATCTTTAAAGAATGCACAGACCCCAATTACTTCCCACTATCTCTGCTACCTCTGCTCTGCTCCAACCAAATAGCAGCATCAAATTATTGCATCAGGCTCCCAACTACTATATTTCTCCCCTTGCCATCCTGAGTCTATTATAAACAAAATAGAGAAAAAGTTCTTAAATGTAGTCAGATCATGTCACTGCTGTGCTCAAAATCCTTCAATGGCTCCTGTTACCTCTCTGACTTCATTATCTATAACTTACCCTCTCACTTCTATTCTAACCATACTTACTCACTGTTACTACCTGCTTTCAAATACACTCCTGGCTCAGGAGCTTTCACTGGCTGTTACCTCTTTCTGAAATACCCTTTCCCCATGATGGTCACAAGACCTGCTCCCTCACTGCTTCAGGTCTTTACCCAGTGATCACCTCCTCCTTGAAGGCTTCCCTGACCACCATATTTTAAACTTCATCCTCTTTAACATTCTACTCCCTTCTCTGATTTTATGCACACATATAACCCTGTAATTTATATTCCTTTGATTATTGTCTGTGTCCCCACCACCACCACCACATGAAGGCAGGGACTTTTGTCTGTTTTATTTGGTGTGACAGCCCTAGCACCTAGAAGAGGGAATGACACGTAGTAGATGCTCAGTAAATAAATGTTGAATTAGTAATTTAAGATAGAGATTTGAACACAAGTAGTCTAGTACTGAAGCCACATTCTTAACCTCTATATTATACGTATAATTAAAAAATATACTATATATGGTCATAAAAAATTATATGTGCTTAAAGAAATAAAAGTCGATTTTTTTTTATGAGCAAGCAGAAAGACTTTTAAAAATGATCAGGCATATTTAATAAAGAACCAAATAAAAACAAAATTGCCCCCTACCTTGTATTACAAAAAAGTTAGTGCCAGGTGGGCTGGAAACCTAAATGTTAAAGTAAAATAATAAAATTTCTAGAAGATAATATAAAAGAATGTCTTCATGATCAAAGAGTAGGGAAAGACTTTTTTAACAGGATGCAGAAAGGACTAACCATAAAGGAAGACCTTATTAAACTTGACTACATTGCAGTTAAAACTATCTTCAAAAGAAATCTGAAAAGAATGAAAAGGCAAGCCATAGAATGGAAAAAATTTTTAAATAAAAAAGATATTTGCAACACATATAAGTGACAGAGAGCTTGTATCTAGACTATATAAAGAACCCCTACAATTAATTTTTAAAAAGAGAGAAAAACTCAATAAAAAATAGGCAAAATATTTGAACTGGTACCATAAAAAGAAAATAACCAGGGGCACGTGGCTGGCTGTCAGGAGAGCATGCAACTCTTGATCTCAGGGTTGTGAGTTCAAACCCACATTGGGTATAGAGATTACTTAAAAATAAACATATTTTTAAAATAAGAAAAAGAATAGTAAACATTTTTTTATTTTATTTTTTTAAAGATTTTATTTACTTATTTGAGAGAGAGAGAATGAGAGATAGAGAGCACGAGACGGAAGAGGGTCAGAGGGAGAAGCAGACTCCCTGCTGAGCAGGGAGCCTGATGTGGGCCTCGATCCTGGGACTCCAGGATCATGACCTGAGCCAAAGGCAGTCGCTTAACCAACTCAGCCACCCAGGCACCCGTAAACATTTTTTTAAAAAAAGAAAGGAAATAACAAGATGGCCATTAAATATATGAAATGATGTTCTATAATACTGATCAATAATTATTTTAAATGTAAGTAAACTATTAAATACTCCAATCAAAAGACATAGGGTGAGTGAATGGGTAAAAAAACAAGACCCATCTATATGCTGACTATAAGAAACTCATTTCAGACCTAAAAACACATATGGACTGAAAGGAAGGGTTGGTAAAAGTTATTTCACACACAAATGAAAGTGGGAGGAAAAAGCTGCAGTAGAAATACTTATATCAGACAAAATAGACTTTAAAACAAAGACCATATGATAAACAAGGACATTAGAAAATGATAACCAATTGTGCAATAAGAGAATCTAACTGTAAATATCTATGCACCCAATATTAGAGCATCTAAATACATAAAGCATATAGGAAAAGACATAAAGGGAGAAACTGATAGTAATAAAATAATTGTAGAGGACTTTAAAACCTCACTTAAATCAATAGATAGATCATCCAGGATTAAAATCAATAAAAAAATAGTGGCTTTGAACAACAGATTAAACCAGATGGACTTAACAGATCACATACAGAATACTCCACCTCAAAACAGCAGAATACTCATTGATTTCACGTGCCATGAAACATTTTCCAGGACAGATCACATTTGGCTACAAATCTCAATAAATTTAAGAGGACGAAATCATATCAAGCATCTTTTCCAACTACAAAAGCATAAAGCTAGAAATCAAGCACAAGAAAAAAAAAAACAGAAAACAACACAAACATCTGGAGGCTAAACAATATGCTATTAAACAATCAACGGGTCAACAAAGAAATCAAAGAGGAAATTATAATACACATGAAGACAAAAGAAAATGGAAACATAATGGTCCAAAATCTTTGGGATGCAGCAAAAGCAGTTCTAAGAGGAAAGTTTATAATGATACAGGCCTACCTCAAGAAACAAGAAAAATCTCAAGTAAACAATATAACCTTACACCTAAAGGAACTAAAAAAAGAAAAACAAAGCCCAAGTTGTAGAAGGAAGGAAATAATAAAGATCAAAGAGGAAATGAATGAAAGAGAGACTAAAAAATAACAATTATAATAATAAAAAAGATTAATGAAACCAAGATCTGGCTCTTTGAATAAACAAAACAAAACTGATAAGCTTTAGCCACACTCATCAAGAAAAAAGAGAGAAAACTTAAATAAATAAAATCAGAAATGAAATGGGAAAGGGGCACCTGGCTAGCTCAGTTGGTAGAGCACATAACTCTTGATCTCGGGGTTATGAGTTTGAGCCCTACATTCAGTGTAGAGATTACTTAAAAATTTTAAAAAAATCTTTAAAAAAATGAAATAAGAAAAGTAACAACTGTCACCACATATACAAAGAATTATAAGAGACTATGAAAAAATCATATGTCAACCAATTGGAGAACCCAGGAAAAAAAAAAGATAAATGCCTAGAAATATAAAATCTTCCAAAACTGAATCAGGAAGAAATAAAAAAATTTGAACACACTATTTACTAGGAAAAATTGAAGTGGTAATCAAAAAACTCCCAAAAACAAATGTCCAGGATCAGATGGATTTACAAGAAAATTCTACCAAAGATTTAAAGAAGAGTTAACACCTATTGTCCTCAAAATATTCCAGAAAATAGGAGAGGAAGGAAAATCTCCAAATTTATTCTTGGAGGCCAGCATTATCCTGATACCAAAAACAAAGACACTACAAAAAAAAAAAACAAAAAAAACTACAGACCCATATCTCTGATAAACATAGACACAAAAATTCTCAACAAAATATTAGCAAACTGAATTCAACAATTCATTGAAAAGTTCACTCATGTAGGAAAAGATGGCAGAGGAGTAGCGGACCCTATTCCAACTGGTCCCTGGAATTGAGCTGGATATCTACCAGACCACTCTGA